GTTTGGAGCTGCCTCGGAGCGGTTCGTATACAGAAACCTCTGTCAGAACATAAAATATTCAGGTCCCTTTTAGAGTAAAATAAAATGCTGTCACTTGAATAAAAATCGGCGGAACCGAGTATAAATTATTTGTGAAGCAGAGAGGCTGCGGGCGAGCGCTCGCAAACTTCCCTGTTAATTAAATCTTAATCCATGGGTCGCAGGAAGCGGCGGAGCTGTAGCAGCGGCTGCTGTACATACAGCGGGACACGTTCCAGAGTTATATTAACTGCACTCGTGTTTAATATGAATCAGTCCTAATCCACAGCATAATAAAGATCAAATTAGACTAACCATTTAGTAGCGAAATGACATTCCTTCACCTAAAATGAACCTCCCCGCGCCGTGCTCGCTGCCAGGCAGGCGCAGCAGCCCGGCCGGGCCCGGCTGGGGCTGAGCGGGGCCGGGGAGGGCAGCGGGGCGGCCTTTTCCAGGCTGGCCAGTTTGGTTTGCAGCCTGAGGGGGGAACCCCGCTACCCTCCCACGCTTCCCAGAGCCGCCTCTTCCCCACCCCTCCGCACAGCCGGCTGCCTGCCGGGCCCCGCGGCTGGAGGAGGCTCGGAGCGGGCTGGGGTCGCTTCTCCTGTCCGCTGCTGGGGCCAGGGGGACACCCACGACAGGGAAGGGTGGTGGCCCTGCTTCCCCGCGGCGCCCTGGGCAGCCAGGGCCGCTCCAGCGGGGACATGGATGAGCTGTTTTACTGGAGACCGAGGAGCGAGCCCCGAGTCCCGCTCCGTCTTTCCCGCGGCCACGGGAGCGCTGCGCCCTTGTGCCGGGACTCGCTGCCCCGTTTCCCAAGCTGGAAACCACCCCGCATCCCGGCGCTGCCCGGAGAGGAGAGGAGGGATGGGATGGGATGGGATGGGATGGGATGGGATGGGATGGCATGGCATGGCATGGCATGGCATGGCATGGCATGGCATGGCATGGCATGGCATGGCATGGCATGGGCCGGCCCTCGGTGCCTCTCACGGGCGGGGCAGCCTTTTGTGCCGGCGCTGAGCAAACACAGCTGCCGCGGTGGCGGCGTTTGAGGGAACGCGGCTCTCACCGTCCCACCCCTCGGCCCCGCTCCCGGCCATCCCTCCTCCGTGCTCCCCTGGGCGGGGGTGACACCAGGTACCCCGCGGCTCCCGGGCTGATCTCATCGGCGGGAGCGCAGCGCCGGTGTCAGGCGCACGAACTTCCCACGTCCCCCGGCGAGGGGACACCTCTGCCTCTTCTCACGGCGCGGGCATCCCCCCCGTGTTGTCATAACATCCCCATGGCAACTGCGGCAATTACTCCTATGCCAGAACAACAATGGGAAAGTATTTAATATATTTAAATGTGATTAAGCAGGTGGAAGAAACGAGGAGGAGCAGCTCCGTAGGAAGAGCCGGCGGAGGCTTCCAGGGAGCCCCGGGGGAGCAGCGGCACGTCTGGAACTCAACAGATGGAACGAGGGACGCGGAGTTACACCGGGAGAGGAACGGAGTGTTTTATCGTTTTCTGCTGCCTTTAGCACCAATTGAGGCACGTGAAAATTCATTCCGATTTCCATCTCTCATTTCGACAGAAATACTAATACACCGTTGGAAAAGAATATTTCCCCCCTGTTACTGTTCCTTTTCAGTTTCCTCTTTATTCTTCTCTACCTTTTTATTAGAAAGAAAACAAAACCAAAACCAAAACAAAACCACAAAACCCCCCCACAAACCCGCCGTTAGCCGTAAATTCGGAAACTAAAAGGCACGGGAAAAAAACCCCTGAAACTCCACAAAGCTGGTTTGTATCCAATCTCCAAAACGAATTTACTGGGGAAAAAAACCACTTCGTAAAAAAAAAAAAAAAAAAAAAAAAAAAAAATTTAAAAAAAAAAAAAAAAAAAAAAAAAGATAATTAATTTAAACACACACTTTAACCTGAAAATTATTCCTTTCCAGCCACTACCCCTCATTTCTATGTAATTAGGGAATCTAGTAACCAACGGAAGAGATGCTGCTGACCCAGGGAGCCACGGCCACCGCCGGGCCGGCGGATGATGCGCAGCGGGAGCTGCTGCTGCCTTTCCCCGGGAGCGGCCGGGCTCGGCCAGCGGAGCCCCGGGAGCCGGGCAGTGCCCCTGGGCCTTGAATTCACTGTTAAATTGTGTGGCCGGGTATGGGTTTGGTGGGAATTACTGAGTGCGGCGGCAAAGGAAGGAGGGTGCGGTGCTGATGCGGGGGAGGTGCTGTTAATGCGAGGGACCTGCCCTGGGGGACGAAGAGGTTAAAGGGTGCGGGGATGAACTGCCTCACCCTGCCCAGCAGCGATGCGAGGAAAACAGCTGGAGAAGGTATATTGGCAAGAAATTCTGGTGCTGGATAACGCCTAAAGGTAAAAGAAGGGTGTAGAGGAGGGAAGGGGTGAATTCCAGAAGAGAAGAACAGGGCAAGGGGCTGATGGGGTCTTAGGCTCACAAGAGCTAATGGAGAACTGGGATGCAGTATTAAGAGTGTGTAAATAATTAAGATTCACTAAAATAACATCTTGGTGTCTATGTTACAGGAGTAAGATGAAAATGCATCAATTGCTGTGCATTACCTAATATTATAATAATATATATAATATCTCTATATATGTGTTTTTCCTGAGGGAGCCTTTAAGTCTTGGTTATGCTCTGCACAGGCTGGGTAAGGTGGTCCTGAATGGTGGGATTTGCATTTTCAAGGAAAAGACAGGAAGTCCCTAATTTCAGATTAGTGTTCTCAGGTGCTGCTCAGGGGTCAGGAGGCTCAATTACACGAACACTCAAATGAAGACCAAGGCTGAGCAAGGGGCTGCTGGTGTAGAACAGTGCTGGCTGTTCTCACGGTGACTCACTGATTGGTCATGTGGAAGCAAGTACATTGAGAGAGATGAAAATGCTGAAAGACCAGGCTGCTACTGATAGCTTTAACTGCAACAGGCTGTTTGGTAAACACTTATGACCATAATGAAGTCTGGTCTGAGGCCTGTTCAATCCAGAAGCTGGCATAAGCATGTGTTCCTCTTCACTCCAGGTATGAATCTGGCAGAAGTGGACAAGGGCATGATGAGACA